AATTTTCTTATTTTATGTTAACAAAATGAGGCACAGCTTTAGTATTAGTCCTTTTTGAGGAGAAATTTGTTTGGCGACATTTTGGAGCGATAAATGAAAAATTATGATAACCTTGGTAACCCTAAATACTGAGCTTCAAACATGCCGCCATTTCTGTCCACTTAACTTTAACGAATTTGATAGGTATTAGAGCTTTGATGTCAGGAGGGATAAATTGTGCATTTTTCTGAAAGTTACTTTTGTGTTAGGAAAGCACAACATTTAAAATATTTTTTAAAAAGCCAAATTTTTGATAGTTAAAACTGGTGCTTTTAATATTACACCACATGAGTCTTGACACATTTTTTCGTATGTCAACTCTGCATATTATTATAAACTCCACCCCACCCCTCCAAGGAAAAAAAAAAAAACACATTTTCAGTAGCATGAGGTAAACTCTTAGTGTTTCCTTTGCTAAGGAGATCAAAATTACCATGGTCTAAAAATACTTATTTACCTCATATTAGAACTATAGGGATGTGTAATTGCACGAATTCATAGGTTCAAATCAGGACCAAAATCAGGTTTCATTATTGCTTTTATAACATTTTCATAATTTGTCTGACTATAAAAAAATATAATGTTGCTTAGATTATGGAATATATTGCTTATAATTTAAAGTTCTCAAATTTTGTAAATCTTACAACCTAACAGCTGTATATATGAAATAACCTTCACTGAGTATTATTACTTTTATTAATAGTATGTTGACATAACAGTCGACTTTTTATTTTAAATTTTATGCAAAATTTCTACATTACTTAAACATTTTATTTAACAGAAATCTGAATTTTTTTGTAATAAAAAAAACTATAATACAAAGTAAGAGTACAATTTATATATAAAAATTAGACAACATGGCAAGCACTTAGATACTGATTTCAATGTCTTTAAATGTTATTATCATAAAGTTTAGATATATTCTTATTAATATAAGATATACTTTTATTCTGTTATAAAGTTTTAGATGTACAGAACAGAAGGCACATGCTTTGTGCTTGCGACTCAGGTCAACCAACCACTTGTGGCAAGATAACTTATGATAACAATTAAGTTCAAATGTAAAATTTAAATTCAAATAAATTTGTAGCCCAAAGGCTGCACAAATCAGTTTAATGCAAAGTTGGCTTAAAACTTAACCGGCATGGAAATTGAACTATCAGCAATTATACTGCAAGGCCTACTGAAGACTACAAATCTTATTTTATCTAGCAACCTATTCAATGTGGCCTCAAAAAAAGGCAAAACATAGGTTTGTTTTACAAAATAAAAACTTCATTTGGGATTCTGGTGAGAGAAAACGGATAGGAGGAAATTGACAGTAAAGATCCCAAGCATAAAATAACTGTGGTTACAAAATAAAGGAGCGTTACATATATACTTTGTTCCCTTTGATTAATTATTCAGTACATGAAATAGTGTAATGCATTTTTTGTTTGCATCACATACAAATTATTTAGTTTATTTAAATGCTTTCCAAAACTGACAGGATTTTGCAAACATATTGACCATATTTTTCGACCTATACATGCAAACACTTCTTCTCTTCAGAAGTAAGATTTAGAATTAAGAAATAAGAAAATAAGAGAGAATTATGAATAGAAAATAAAATACATATGCTGGCTAGCAGAAGAAGGATGCCTTCATAAAAGTACTTTTTAAGAGAAACTGACTCAGATACACATTACATCTACGGAAAAACTACTAAAACTCTCATATAACCAGCCTGAAACTACCACTGTTCAGTGGCTATCACTCCACCACTAGTGGATTCCAATGACTGTTCGAATTTTTTTCACAGAAATCATCATTTACGATGATTGTTGTATTATTACCATTGGTACAAAATTTACTCATTATGATAATTAATTTTAGCTTTTAAATTATAATCATAAATTATTTGTAATAAATTGAGGGATTAAAAAATACACACTTCTTAATATTTTTACCATTTACAATATTTAATCATAAAAAATATTTCTAACACTGGTATAAAACTTGCCCATTATAATTGAATTTGATTTCCTTCACTTTGAAATATTTTTTTATTTTCTTTTAATAACAATCTAAGAAACTAAAGTAACATAAACTAGTTTGAAATGCATTTAGTAACCTTTTGTAAATTTCATTATTCATAAACATAAAAATTAACCTTTTGTAAATTTAAAATATTAGCTAAGTACTAATATAATAAATATAAATAAGAACTAACTACTTAAAAATTAATGTTTAATACATTTATTTTGTAATTAAAAATATTAACATTTTGTAAATTTCATTACTCATAACATAATAATTGTCATAAATTCATTTACAGTAGTGTTTCAAGAATTTATCATAGCAGTACTAGAAATATTGAAAATTAGAGAAAGACTGTTTATTCTGATCAAGAGCTTATTTTTTAGGATTGTTATTTAGTCTAGATCGGGTTTTGTTGACAATCCGCCATTTTTTTCCGATCTTCAAAACCGGGTCTACCACGGCGACCGAAGTTTGTCGCCAAATAAAAAAAATCACCAAAAGGACCAATACTAAAGCTGTTCCCAAAATGAAATTAAATTTTTTTTAAACCTAAATACATTTTATTAATGATTTTGAATATTCATACCCATTAAAGTATGATATCAAAACAAGGTACTCTTCTGTTACCAGGACTGGATTCAGAAATGTGTGCACACACATACGTACATACATAGATATATGCATATATGAACTCATAGATCCATGCATACATGTATACATTTCAGAATCCCATCCCTTTAACAGAAGGAGACGTAGGAAACATGCATACATACAGACATATACTTCAGACATAGGAAATTGCTTCAAACTATAGAAAAACTGTTTTATAAGTTTGGTTTTTCGTAATTATATGGCCTCAATTTTTTAAATACCAAGTTGGTATTAGCATTATTGCCAGGGTCATAGCTATTTTGATTATCATGTTTCTGCAGTTTATGGTAGCTTTGTCATAGTAAAAGCATTTTTGACATTTTCTCATTCCTAACATAAGACTCGAGATGTTGTTGAACTGTGGGTTACTAATTTTTATTCTGACATTTAGTGAAGTATCACACTCTTTCAGCATTTTCTATATGAGCAGCTGCTGTTGGATCAACAAAATGAAATAGTATGTGGTTAACAGTAATATGTCTAACCTTCTTATTCCAATGTTCTGTGCTTTTCATCATGTCAGTAAATGGTTAATCCCGCTTATACATGGTTGAAGATTTTTGGCACGGGAACTATAGCTTCTCTGTTTGCAACCTGAGTGAGAACGAATTCATAAGTTTATCAGCATAATCTACCAGAAATCCAGTATTGTGGAAGAACCCTGCTGGCTTTATCCTTTCTCTTTGTTAACGTACTGTTTATGCTTGCAATTTTTCAGGGTGCCCTATTTGCTTATTTAATTGTCAGATTAGACGTAGAGAATATGTCTCTCATAAAACTGTTCCACTCAATTACTGTATTTTCGTAAAGGCAGAATTGCTTCTTCTGTCATTTAATCAATGTTAGTTCCTCTGCACAACAGTAAATATATTGTTGCATTGTTACTAACATTATTTTGAAATCATTGAACCAGTTTTCAAAATGTATGATTTTCCTTCACTTGTAACTTTTTACATTGCATTTCCAAATGCTTTCATTGATATGTTGTTTTATTTAATGATCCTTTTCACATTTTCAGATGGGAAATAAAGAGTCTTTTTTTTTTTTTTTTTTGAAAGAAAGGTATAGCATCTTCCTCAAGTCTATGAATCAAACACTTTTTTATTTTTTTTTTAAAAGAAAATACATTAACATGTAGAGTGCTCAGAACTTTTTTTATGATGGAAGAATTGTGAGTGACTGTGAATTATTAAGATTTATGTGAAAAAGGAAAATATAGTAATTTGTGGTTTACTCAAAATGCTTTACGTCATGGGCAAATAAATGCAAGCCAGCAATTTCATGATGGTTTTCACTGGGGATTTATCAATAATCTTAATGCCATTTCTGAAACAGCGGCCTCAATAGTAAGGAAATATATATATACAGTCAAAAGTCGTTAATTCGGACACCCATAATCCGGAATGATCCATAATCCGGACCTCAAAGCTACAAACTTTCTGTAGCTTTGAGTAGCGCATGAGTCGAAACGACGCATGCGCATAAGGCCTTTACGGCTGCACATATGCGTATGCACATGCGCATAAAATGTTTACTCATGCGCGCTTAATGTATAACGGACGGTATGCTAAAATTATCTAATTATCTATTTCAGTTAATGTTGCAGATTGCGTTGTTCCTTAATCTTGGAATTGGATCCGGCTTATTATTTTTTGCAGACTGTTAGAGCAATTTTATAAAAGTAAGCTTGAACTTTCGATTATGTCAAATAGAATTTCCGATGCTGGAGCTCCCAAAGGATCTACAAAGCGAAAGTATGTTTTGATGTCCATCAAACAAAAAGTGGAATTGCTGCAAAAAATGGATAAAGGCATGAAGAAAGTGACAGAGAGGTTAGTGAAAACGAAAAAATTTCGATTGACAAGTTAGTCAGTATTCTCGGCACAGCAATTGCAGAACTTGAACAGCGGAACTTTTTAACTGAACAAGAAATTATGTCTGTTTATATAAAATTAAAGAGAAAGTATTAGCACATAAAACAAAGCAACTTACATTGAAAGAAATGTAAACAAATAAATATTAAACTTTTTTTTTGGTAAATTTTGATACCCTTTAGATCATAATTGTTCTTTATTTCATAAATTACAGTTTCATATTTTTAATTTTATAATTTCTGCCTGACATCTTACCAGATTTAAACTGATGATCTATAATCCGGAATCGCCAAAGTCCCGACGAGTCCGGATTAACGACTTTTGACTGTATATTTAATTATTTAAAGTATGAAGTGTTTTTGAATATTATTTGCATATTTTGCTTTTACAGTTTCTGTATTTTATTTTTCATAGGTAAGAAATGCAAAACGCTAAAGAGCATGATGATTCTTCTGATCGTAAGTTTAGGAAAACACTTAATGTGACAATTATCAATAACTTCCTGGATTTGGAAAAGTGTATGTGATTTTTTTTTATTATAAATTCCTATTGTACACAAATAACAACTAATATTTATTTTGTTTTATTATAAAAGGATATAGTTATAAATTTAAATATTGCAGCATATTATAAATTATATTTATTTTGTTCTGTTTCTGATATCAGTTTTTAATTGTTATGCTATGTTATGTATAGCTTAACTCAATGTGCGCAAACATTAGTTTGTGTGGTAGTCTGTAATTCAAATTGCCAACCTGAAGTTTGATTTCTAAATAAAAGCTTCACTGTATTGCACCACACAACAAATCAACGTGCACAAAATTAAGGAATTTTGTTTGAATATTTATCATAAAATTGGACCTTACAAATTTCTGTTGAAAGTAGACTTTTTTTTTTAAGCTGTATAATAATTGTTTAAGTTATAATAATAATTATTTATTTGTGTCATATTTTATAACAGGGGGTAAAATGTGTGTGTATGAAAACTTTGAGCAGTTATGTCACATCTTTAACTCTCTCAATGTTATAGATGTAAAGTTCCATATAGAAGAGTGGCTTTATTTTTCCTTATACATGAAAATTTTTACCAGCCTTTAATGCATATGATTTCAGGTTAGATGTATGTTGGTTGAAAAGGAATCAAGATGCAAAGTGAGAGAGTCATTTTTTTAATTATAATCAAGAAAATACCATTTATTTATGACATTTTGAGGAACTTTAAAATTTCTGGGCTAAGCACATGTCTGGAGAGTTAAATATCACTAGAACTCCATTAAATTAATAACATTGTTCCCTGTTGATAGAAATAGATATATGTGGTGATCCCTGTTTTGAAAATGGATTTTGAATCAGTTGAGATTCGTGTGCCATTCGAGTCAATGGCGTAAGATGTCGGGGGCTGGCAAGGTTCAACTAACAGAAAAATAACACTAGCGTATTTATCTTCAGTCACACCCAGAGATTCCAGAGCACATAATTTTGTTTCTAAACTGTCCTACAATGATGACAGCATGAAGTCCTTTTTGGTTGCACTATTATTTATCAACACAAGATTCAATAAATCCCTTGTACACTTGTATAAGAAGATCTTCACGTCCGAAACGGTTCTTTAAATGTTCGATGACTTTCGGATAATTTTTTTTAGTTGTCGGGAAGCTCTGCACTATTTCTCGTGCTTTCGATTTGTCAGCAGTAGCCTGGATCAGATATATGAATTTCAAGTGATAATCTAGAACTGGATCTTCGTGTATCTTACTAAAAGTATTCCAGAAATTCAACCATTGTCGTGGATCACCTGTAAATTCAATCAAATTTATTTTCGAAAGCTTCAAATTCATTGTTGTTGCTCTTGAATCAGTAGTTCTGGTTTCGTTTACAGATGCACAAGTCAGCAAATTTTTTTCTATTTTCACAGTGACTTGCTTCACTTTCATCCTGGCTGCTATTAATTTCTCCTTGTAAGTTTCATATGACTCAAATTATTTAGTATATTCTTCTTGCTAGACTTCTTTCGATTTCGATAGGAGATCCAATATTTCTTCATCAAACTGTTGTAGTCAAATTCCTTCATCTTCCAGAATTTCCAGGGACGATGACAAAACATCACTGTTCAATTCTGACTCATTCAAATGTTTATGTAAGCTATTATATACTTTCGTGAAGGCTGCATGCAGTGGTATTCTTTTTAATTTCGAGGCTTCCATTTCTGCTATTAAACCATCAAAAGTGTCCTTTACCTAACTAATGCATCCTATCATGAATGCCACTTTTTATTGTGGTGATCCACGATTTGAAAATGGATTTTGAATCAGTTGACATTCTTGCACTAACCTAGTGCTTCGCATTAGAGAGTAAAGAACATCCATGTTAGAAAAATATACTTTTATTTACACAGCAAAAGCATGCAGCAACAATATATGTTGATTATATGTAGTTCTAGTGTTAAATGGCTTACATTTATCTTTACTTATTAAAATGCTATGTAAATATGAATGTTGTGAATATGAGTTATCGTTCAACCAATGAAAATGCCAAAGGGCAGATATACAATGAAATACATGCAATGATATACATACAATGTACAGATATACAATGATGTTTAAATACTTCCTAGGGATGTGAAGCAGAAGATATTTGATGAAGGAGAGGAACTGATCTTAAATGGTTAGATTTATGTAATCATAATTTCTGTATCAAAAATGAATAATACACTGCTTTCCAAAGGTTAAACATGCAATGTTAATTCTGGCTTCAAAATACATGTTTCAATTTCATTGGGCGAAACTCAGTTGTGACTACAGAAGAAAACATGCAAGTTTCATATAATGTGACTAATTATTGTTTGTTCTGTACAGATATGCAAATTAGGCATTGATTGAAGGTGATGCTTTTCTGAAGCCTTTTATTGGATGAATTTAACTGCCGATAAATTAAAAAAAAAAAAAAATGTTTTGGTTATTTTTTTATTTGATAAGATTAGTTATGACTCGAAAAAGGTACTGGGATAAATTTTCATCATTGGCAGGCTGTCAGCTTGGAACTGAACAATATATTAATCTATTGCAGATATCACTGTTTTCTCTGATGTTGACTGTTCAGTGATTTCTTGCCTTTGAAAGCAATTTCGTACGAGTGTCAAGTTATCCGAAGATTTGTTCCTGGTCATCTATGGGTTACCATATTTTCTGACAATAAATTCAGTATAAAGTCCAATATCCAGGTCTTAGGGGGGAAAAAAACCTAAAATATAGGAATGGGAAATATAATACTCAAGGAAGCATGTGTGTCTTAAATGTGATTTTTCCCTGACTGAGATTTCTGCATTTCACTTCAGACAAATGCTGCTTAGGGAGTTGCACCATAGCCAGTAGCAACTAACATTGTGTTGATGTTGGCTAGGATCATGCTTTCAGCTCTTCAGTAATTAAGGAAAAGGAAGGGTTTGCACTCTGCATTTTGCTACCTGGTGCATTCTCTGCTGGTCCTAAATTCTACTTGTACCTTTCTAAATTAAAAAAAAAAAAAAATTGTCGTCCCTAAATTCTGCTGCCTAGTGTTTCTTCTAAATTCTAAAAATTTTGACATCCTTCATTTTTGCAGCCTGTGTAGCTGCACCAGCTCTTGTGCCAATCCTCTTAGAGAACTAGCATTCTTCTACCTGACCTAAGCAATAAACAGAGTTTCAATTTCCTCATGTCTTCATGCCTTCTTATTAGTTTTAAACTGGTAACCTAAAATTCAGAAATTTCCGATATCCTGAATTACCAAAGTCCCAACAATTAAGGATCTCAGTCATTGTAATGCATTTAAATTTATTAGCTGAATACAATCAATGAATTATTGCCAAAGTCCCAACAATTAAGGATCTCAGCCATTGTAATGTATTTAAATTTATTAGCTAAATACTACAATCAATGAATTTCCACATTAGTTGACTAGGAGTTGAGTAGGGTTGACTACTGCAGTTATAATATCAGTATCTGTCACTTTCCACAGTAAAGAGTACATATAAAAGTTGTGTATGTTTAAGTACTATAAGTTTGCATTCCTTTAACCCATTCAAAACCGGGGAAAGAAGGGCTTCATGGCCCGTGTGTTCTGAAAGCATATGTAAGTACAGGACTGGGCAGTTTTCACCATAAAGCCTAATTACATTTAAAAATCTATTTAAAATCATTACTGCAATTAAATATGCTGAAATTTACAGTTTATTATCATTGATAGTATCTAAACATGCTGCAATAAAATTTTCATATTATTAAAAAACAAAAGATATGAATTTTTGAAAAAAAAAAAAAGGATTTCATATTAATAAGAAAAACTCATGCGGACAACCACATGACTTCCTCTTACAGAATATTAAATTATACACATTTTTTGCTACATTTCATTTAAACTTATTTCCTCAAAATTCATTAGAGATATATTTCTCATTAAATTAATTCAGTTCTCACTTCGTGGCAAGGCAAAAATGTACAAAACCTCAAAATACCTTCATTAAAAATTAAAAAATAATAAATAAATAAAACACCAAATACAGTTAAAACAATTTTAAAAACAATTTGGTGCACAAAACTGAAAGTTTACTTTTGGTCCCACCTGGCAAAAACACACTAAACGTGCAGAAACTGACTTAATCCACTATTCTACCAAGTTTCAAATGTAAACAAATATGGCCGCTCTGGGAAAAAAAAATAGGCTTAGCTGTACTTAAACAATTTTTAAATTATTGAAAATTTTGAAACTGTTAAATGGAGGTTAACTAAAGACATAAAAACCCTAACCTAAAAATAAGAACAACCTAATTCAATCATTCATTCATTTCAAGTAAAAAATGCACTGTTTATTAACATATAAGAATAAAAAAAAAATAAAAAAAACTGAGCTCGCAGAGTCTTCGTAATATATATATATATATGTAATAGAGTCTTTAGTAGAACGCAGGCGGTTGCATCCATAATGAGCAGCGAGAATTGTGATGTCGTAGAATCCTGAAATGCGGATCCACAATTAATAAGAAATTTGGCAGTCAAGGTATATTTAATTCAACTTTTATTTCAGTAAACATGTTGGGGACACAATCAAGTTGGCACATTAATGTGCCTATTCCAAAAAGTATACATTTTAGATAAATTTGCAGTAAGAAAGAAGGTGCAGACAGACGACTGCAGTCAAGCTAGGCGAAAGTGTAGAAAGCAAGCGTGTTATGCTCAAGGTGAAATCTTAATTCAAACTGAGTTAGTTTTGTTTCTCAGCGCATTTTGGTTGGATAGATAATATTGCTGTAAAATTACTATTGGCTGTTTTAGTTCCATTTAAATCATCAGCATTACATAAGAATCATATGACATAGATTAGTCTCAAAGTGATTCAGTGCAAATAGAAGTTACTATTTTTAGAACACAAAAGGGAATTTAAGCTGCTAATTTAATTTTTCACGTATATAATTTTGGTGTGGCCGATTACAACCAAAAACGGAAGTGCACTGTCATATGTTATAGCAATCCTACATACAAAA